CAGCAGCATCATCCCTTCCCCAAAACCGGAAATTCATCAATACATCAACTAAGTCCTTTTGGATCTGCAGAGGCATGAATAGGCACGCCCTAAGCAGCACCTTGAATAATATCAAAGCAGCAGGCAAACAAAAAGACAGCAGAACAAAACACCCTTCAACAACCACAACCTCTTCACCCCTTTCTAAGACCCCCATCTCGCGTATACTCTGCAGCGAAAGCCGCAGCAATCATGGCGAGCACCCGAAACAAGAGCAGCAGCAGCAGCAGGAAGCACACCTCACGCCGGTGCTGTTGCTGCTGCTGTTGCTGCTGCTGCTGCTGCTGTTTCCCTTAAACTGTTCAAACCACCACAACCATCCCGCGAGCAGCGAGGCGGTTTCGCCCTGGTGGCCCTGTACGGAGAGGATGTCCACTGCATCCGTCTTTGATATCTTAATGAATATTACAAATAAGCCAAGGTCAACAAACAACGAAGCCAAACCCTCATAATAAACAAGCGCGCAATCACACCTTCCCACACAGCAACGCCAACAGCAGCAGCAGCAGCCCTAGAACACAACTCCGCTTCTGCCCCAAAACACCAGCAGTCTCTCGCCTAACGATGCATGCATGCGCGCTACTGATACTACAGATGCTATTGCTACTGCTGCTGTTGCTGCTGCTGTTGTTGCTGCTGCTGCTGTTGCTGCTGCTGTTGCGGTTGCTGCTGCTGCCGCACCGAACCGCCCTGCTAAAGCACGAGGTGCCCAGAGCCCTTCAAATAAGCCGAGGCGAGCAGCGCCTGAGGGAAGCGATATCAACGCGTCAGTGGGCTGGCTGTTGCTGTTGCTGCTGTTGTTGCTGCTGCTGCATATACTGCATCATTTGCTCGTGCCCCTGCATCTGCTGTCCACCTGAAGGGTTCGACATCGAGCTTAAGAAAGACTGGTAATACTGCGTATATAACTGTGCCAATACTTGCGGATCAACAGAGGCCCCCCTTTGTGCTGCTTGCTGCTGCAGCAGTTGCATCACGTACGCAGGAACAGGTTCCTGCTGCTGCTGTTGCTGCTGCTGCTGCTGCTGCTGTTGAGGGTACATGTAGCCCTGTTGCGGATAAGGCTGCTGCTGCCCCGCACCGTAATCTTGACCGGTTCCCTGCTGGTACGGAGAAGCAGCAGAAGAGTAAGGAGGCATTCCGTGCTGCTGCTGCTGTTGCTGCTGCATGGGGTTACCACCGAAGCCACCGAACCCCTGCTGCTGCTGCTGATGGGGCGGTGGTCCCCCCATTCCAGGGTTTCTGGGGCCCCCGAACTGATTGTCGCGTCCCCCTCCATCCCTACCGTAGGAGGGATGTGGGCCTCCTCTGAAGGGGGGGCCCCCAAGGCTATCTCCGCCGCGGTGTGCGTTGAAGCTGTCATAAGCGGGGGGCCCCTGGGCCCCCGGGCTCCCCCCACCTCTCTGATATCCCCACTCCTGGGGTCCCCCACCTCCTCTTGGGGGTTCTTTGTGAGGTCCTGCCCCATTCCATTCTCCTGCGCTATAATTACTGTCATAAGCGGGTCTATGTCGCTTAGAAGGCCCCGGGCCCTCCGCTCTTGGGGGTCCCTGCGGGCCCCCAGAAGGCCCCTGTCCCCACTCCCCAGGCGAAGACCCCGGGGGCCCTCTGCTTTCCCAGCTATTACCACCACCCCAACCGCCTCGACCTCCATTTTCCTTTGGCATCGAAAACGGAGGAGAGAGGCCCCCTGATGCAGCTCTGTCGGTAGGGGGGTGGCCTCCCCCTGGGGCCCCCCAAACCTTGCCGTTAGGATTGGGAGGGGCCCCCCACGAGCCCCCTCCCACAGGCGACGGGTTTGGAGTGTGCTGTTTAACAGCATCATAGAAATCGCGAGGGGGACCCTGACGTGCAGGAGGGCCCCCACCTCTTGGTCTATCATCAAACGGTTTATACACATCCTTAGGGCCTCCTCCCCCCCTGCTGCTGTCTGCATCAACCCCACGATGAAACCGCTTCGGAGTCCCCTCTGCTCCTGGTGCGCCCTTCCAGCCGCCATGCTGAGGAGGGGGAGGAGGAGGAGGAGGTGGACCCCCACCCCACTGGGCACCCCCCATGAAGGGCGGCGGCGGGGGGCCCCCAGGCATTGGTTTTCTTGCGGCTCCTCTTGGGAAGCTACCGAAGGGGAGGCCATCTTGGGGACCCTTTCCAGGGGCCCCCAGGAGGTGCGGGGGAGGGAGGGGCCCCCCGAAGCCAGGTAGGGGGAAGGGGGGCATGCCAGGTAGAGGGAATGGTGGCAGGAGTCTTTTGGGTCTTGGGGGTTTCTGAATGGCCCAGGAGACGAAGGCTTTGTCTAATTCTCTTCCTCTTGACAAGAGATAAGGCAAGAAATCAAGAGTGAAAGCGTGGAGGGGCTGGCGCCGGAGCGACAGCAGATCAGCACCGAGAAGAGAAGAGAAGGAGAAGGCGTCTGCTGCTTGCACATACAGAATGTAGTGATAGCTTAAAGGCTTGCTGTCTCCTTGCTGTACCTGCTGCTGCTGCTGCTCGCCCTGTTGTTGTTGCTGCTGCTGTTCTTGCTGCTCCTGCTGCTGCTGCTCCTGCTGCTGCTGCTCCTCTTCCTCCTCCTGCTGCTGCTGCTGGGTTCCTTCTTGCTGCTTGCTCGCATCATTCTGTGGAGGTACCCCAACTCTTCTTCTTCTTTTCAGTCCTGTCTTCTTCGCTGACGGTGGATATCTGATGTGCTGATTAACATCTTCAGAAGTAAGAACACGGAAGTCGCAAAGACGTACGTTCGGGTGTATGTCCAGCAGATACAGCAGCGCCTCCTCAGGGGCTAATAGGGCATTTGAAAGCGGGCCCAGCAACACCACCCCATTGTTGGGGATCGTCTCCGGGATCGATGGCAGTTGCTGTAGTTCCTCTTCAGTTAAAACCACTTCTGTCTCCTGCGCACCATCTGCTGCTGCTGCTGCTTCGCCTCCTGCTCCTGCTTCTTCCTCCTTGACCTCTTGCTCCTTCTTAGTCTCTTCTTCCGACCCGTCATCTCTCTCCTCAGACTTCGCTGCAGCGTCTTCCTTCTTGTCTTCTTGCTTCTCTTGCTGCTGCTGCTTCTGCTGCTTCTGTTTTGGGGGTAGTTGTTTTGCTTTAATGAGCCTCTCTTGTTCTGATCCTCTATAAGCTAAGAGTTTCTTCTTAAAATCTTCAGGTATGGGGATGTGTCTCGGGGCATCTTCACCTGCTGCTGCATCTGCATCAGCTACCCTAATTAAGCAGCTGCCTTTCTGGAGGTCCACGCCGTCTGCCGCTGCGTTTTCAGCAAAAGCCCGCTGCAGCAATGGAGCAGCAAGTGCTTCCTTCAGCGTCTCAGAGAACCCCTGCTGCTGCAGCTGCTGAAGCGCAGCAACGACTTCTTCTCTGGCAATCGCCTGGCCACGAGCAGCAGCAAACACCTGCTGCGCCTCAGCAGCAGACAAATTCAATAAAGCCATCATCAAAGCGCACAGCATGTACCCCGTCCTGTTCAATCCGTGAGTGCAGTGGGTTACTACAGCGAACCTCCAGGGGCAGCTGCATCCAGACAGCCGCGCGGCAGGGGCCTTCGGGGCCTCTGAGGGCCCTCCTCCTGGGGCCCCACCACCAGCAGCATTGCATGCAGCGCACTCTGCGGCCGCTGCCCACTGCTCAGCTGTACGTACACCGTGCATGGTGAGGAGAGCGAGGAGTTTGAAGTACAGCAACAAACCCTCATTTGTTGGAACTTCTCCTCCTCCCTGACTCTTGTGCCAGAAGACGCTGATGCCGTCGCGCCGCAGCATCTGCGGCTCGTAGTGGCGTTCGGTTAGACACAAATTAACAACGGACAGCAGGCGCATGCGGCCTTCATCTACTAAACACTCAGAACCATACATTATAGGACGCCGACCTGAACCTGGCTGCTGCTGCTGCTGCTGTTGCTGCTGCTGCTGCTGGTCTTCATCCTGCTGCGGCTGCTGTCCGTCTTCCTGTTGCTGTGTCTTTTCTTCTTGCTTGCCCTGCGACTGCTGCTTCTCCTCAGCAGCAGATGCAGCAGCAGCAGCAGATGCGCGCTGCTGGCCCAACCGGCTGGCCCGAGAGCCCAAGCCAGCCCTGCGACGCTGCGCTCCATCAAACTGCTCTTGAAGACCAACAGGAGAGAAGGGGCGGCAACGGAAGAGTTGAGGGGAAAAAGCGACAGACAAAAAAGTCTTGCACGGCAGCAGCAGCAGTTTCTCAACCATCAAAGGGTTAGGGCATTCAAAAGAAGTATCCTGCTGCTGCTGCTCCTGCTGCTGCTGCTCTTCCTCTTCAGCTGTTGCATCTGTACTGTCTTGTGCCTTTTTCTTCTCCTGTTCAGGAACCACCAACTCGCCCTTTTGTTTCTTGTCTGCAGTGGCGCGCAGGTCTACTGCTGCCAAGAAATCTGAGGAAGAAGACCACTTTTCTGGAAGGGGGCCTCCCGCCTCTCTTCTGCATGTACACCCCACGGTATCATGCAGCCAGCTGCAATACGGAGAAGTGCGCCAAGGGCCCCCGCACGTGCCACTAATAGAAGTACGAGGGAACTGGTCCACAGTCATTGGTGTATCAACAGCAGCATGAGGCCTCTTAGGGGGCATGCGGCGGCCCTCTGCTGCACTCTGGCTGCGCTGCTGCAAAGGAGACTTCTTCTCATTTTCCTCTGTCTTCGTAGCTCCAGCAGACGGACCTTCCTCTCCGGCAGCAGCAGCTGCTGCTGCTTCTGATGTTGCCTCTTCCATCCTTGGTTCTTCGGCCTCATCCTCCTGCTCTGCAGTTTCTTCTGGCGCCTCTCTTGCTTCTTCTGCTCCTGTAGCTGCGGCTGCCTCGTCTTCCTCTTGTAGCTGCTGTTCCTGAACTGGGGAAGCAGCAGCACCAACCTGAGCGTCTGTGTGATTCTCAAGGGACTGTGTCAGTGCCTGGGGCGGCTCTGTCTGCGTCTGTTCTTGGGTAGCAGGCTGCTGCGGGGATGTCTCCGTGGTGATGGGGGTTGCTGCCGCTAGCTGCTGCTGCTGCTGCTGCTGCGGCTGCTGTTCGTCTGCTGGGGTAGAACTAGCATTGGTGGCTACTGCATCTTTTGGTTTGCTGCTGGAGGTCTTTGACTTCGAAGTCTTTGTCTTTGAAGAGGTGGATGAGTGCTTCTTTGTGGAGGCTTTGGTGGCCTTTTTCTTCTTTTTCTCCGCAGCCTGCTTGGAAGGGCTGCCTGCAGGGGCAGGAGCAGCAGGCTCAGCCTCTTCTGTCATTATTTAGAGAGGCACAGACGGCGCAAAAGACTTTCTAGACAGTAAATAAAAAGATACGCAAAGTGTCCTCCTCCTGCTTACATACAAGGTCTTAGCCGCCAGGACACAGGGCGGCCGGTCTGCGGGGAGGCGGGAGCTGGGAACCCCCACGGCGTTCGTTTTTAACAGCAAATGAATTCGTGAGTTAAAACGACAAAATCAGTAAGAAAAATCGGAGAGGAAAAGGAGAAGTAGCGGAAAGAGGGGGAGCTGCCCCCCGGTGGCGCAGCGGGTCTGAACGAAACTGGGCTCAGCACGCGTGCGAGGTCTGACAGAGCGCTTACGCGCGATCTTGCATTAAGAAAACCCTTTGAATGCGATTTCTGCAGCGGCATAAACGCACATTAATAAAGCAACCCTTTTCGTTCAAGCAAGACGAGCGAATTCCAATTGACACGCCCAAATTCCCCACCGAGCGCCGCGAATGGGAGCTTTAACACTGCAGCATCCTCACCGAGGTGGTAGTTGCAATGCAGAACGACGAGGCTTGCAGTGTACAGACACCACAAACTTGCATTTATAAAAAGAAAATGTACAGCTTATGATATGCCAACCAACGGAATAAGAGTAGTTGAACGTTTATGTGTGCATTCCGCTCTGAGCAACACGCTTAAAGAAGGGGAAACCAGACGAAACCGAATGGGGCCGTTGGGGTGAGGGGAGCGGCCAGGAGAAATTTCCCGTCCTTGTGCATATTAAATAAAATAAATTTCAAACCATTAAACAAGTTGACAAACTTTGCATCAAATATCAGAAGGCTCCCTTCCTTAACAACGACGTGGCATACACATTCGAATTCGGCACTCGCGCTCCTAGGGGTATACACAAAATATAATTCGCGCATCCATATAATAGGTAATGTGCATTATAAATGCATTTTTTATATGCAATGAATATAACCATATGCACGCCCCAGGTCTTACCAGATGCAATGGCTTGGAGGACGTCTTTTTTTCTGCATTGCGATCGGTGCCTAGACTGAATGATGCACCATACAACATTGTTCACCTGCATTCTCTCTGACTTGCCCTGTCTGAAGTTTGTGGTGCTTTGTGCATTTGCACCTGCCCATGCCTTCGTTTCTCAGTGGTAGGCGACTAATTCTACAAAATATTTGTGTAAAGGGTTAATGCAGCAAGAGCGGGGTTATTGGGCCTTATGCTGGCATACGGGAATATTGCCTTTCCTAGCATCAAAAGTTTCAGCAGCACCAAGCAGTGATGCGCCCTTCATAACAGAGTATGTTGTGTCCCGTCTCTGCACGATATAAACCCCAGCCAGGCCCTTGGGCCACTACAGCGTGCGCAGCTTACCACGACAATGGAGGGGAGTTTGCCTTCTGGTGCTACAGCAGAGTCAACAGAATCAAGGCAGGAGTGTAGAGATAACTGCTTTGTTAACTCGTTTTTCTCTCGTGCAGCTCCCGACGGTCCTCAGCTAGGGCCGAGGTCCCCTGATCCTTTCTACCTCAAACAAGGGAATTAAACCCAATTTTTTTCTCTAAACACATTTGCATATCATTTATGTTTCTCTCCCTTAGGTATAATTGCATATCATAAAGAACGAGATCACTTCAGCGCATTACTTACAAAGTGAGACAACCTGCAAGAAAAAGGAGAGTATTTTTACGCGCAGATTGGATCTTTGTTCTTTCCATTTTGGTATTTATGTGCGCTGCCTCAGTTTTTGGGACAGCGTCTTGGAGACTCTTAGGGTCGTTGCATGGCTTCCTTGTGAAGGCAACAGAGCTTACGGGACGGTGTTGAAGTTTAATTTTTTTCCTGATACATTCTAAACGAATAAATGATGCATGTTTTTTTTTCAAGTACAAATTGGTATGGTTAGGTGGAGCTGGATTGCAGCAACAGGTCAAAGTGTTGCCGTTTTGGGTTTTGCCTCTCGTTGCGTTACGATGTGTTTGTTCACACTAACTGGTTTACTTCCTTCAAGTTTATTTCGTATTGCCTCTAACTGAGTTAAGATGTGTTTGTTCACCTTAACTGGTTTACTTCCCTCCAGTTTTTCTGCAATCGTGATCCCGGTTTATTAATTCATCCAATTGCATATTTGAATATATCTGTAATAATCGCTGAGGGGATTGCTTCATATAGTTGCGGCAAATGTGTCTACTACCTCTTCAAACAGACGAATGGAAAAGCGCAAAAAGTCGCAAGAGCATTCGCCGCACAACGAAGCCCAAAACTGCAATAAAAATACAAAAGTCGAAAGTGAACAAACCAATAAAATCAATGAAAATCCCGGCGATGCTGCTGGTCTGATAACAAAAGCGAGAACAATGCACAACACATGAAAAAAATCAATTGAAAACGCCTGTTTGTCCTTTGCCGCTGTCGTCAATTCCTCTTCCAGTGCCTAAACAGGACTAAGGGCTTCTGCCCTGCAAAATTTTTGCAATGGTTTAACTCTCTACAGTAGACCACCTCACTTATTTTAAAGGGAGTTGAAAATCTCTGAGAGCGAAACATATTTACAGCCCTTAACCCAACACGAGGACCCTAAAGAGCTTGAATGTGCGCAAATGTGCACACACATCGAGGTTTCTGTTTTACGGTTTATGGTTGCCTGCTATGCATTTCCGGTCATTTCTGTTGTTGTTACTGTTTGCATAGTTTCAACCAAGGAGGTCATGGGGTAATATGTCGGGGCGGGATGCTGCTTTTGTTCTGGTGCTTTGTTTGCACCTACAGCCGTATTGCTGCTTTCAATTATGCGCTTCGTTCTTCGCCTTATTTGTTGTTGTGTCACACAAAAGACAGCCGCTGTTGTACAATACCGTCCCTTGGGGTCTTTGATCACCTCGGGGGTTTCTGTTCGTTCCCGTGTACGAGACAGCAGGCGCAGCACTCCCTATTGCTGCTGCTGCTCCTGTTGCTGCTTCTGTTGCTGCCGCTGCTGCTGCTGCACCTACTGCGGTGTGTGGACGACCGTAGCACCATCTGAGTCAATGCCAGCCCTATCCCAGGGTACGGTTTCAGTGCCTTGGGCATACTCCACAGCCGGTTTTCAAGGTTGCCTATTTAATTTACTTATTAATTCCCATTCTTTGCTTAGATGCTAAATTGGAAGCCATCCCGGCGCACCATTGTAATGCTGCACACTACACCTCCTGCCCTTCAACACTACCGACAAAGACTAAATGACGGATTTTAATGTGCTACAAGTTAAAGATAAGGAAGTTTTTAGTATAGAAAGAAATTCTTTAGCTGCATAGCAACGTGCACCTAAAGGATTTCTTTCGCACCCACCTAGACCCGCTGCCTCGAGGAATTAAGGCTGGCATGCCTCCATGCCTAGGACGTCTCTTGCCTCTGCTTCGTTGAGACGACCCCTCGCGGTCGAGCACCATGCTTTGCGCTGGAAGACAGCAGACAATACATCAAAATTCTCATCAGACCTCAGTCTACATTTAAGCAACGGAGCACCATAGCGTTTTCACTGACTTTTCACAGTGGCGAGTAGTCACTCATCATTTCGGCGTGCTGTCTCTCCCATCCGCTAGAGAAGGCTTTAAGTGGAGCGAAACCCTCAGCAGATGCGTCAGATGGCGTTTGTGCTGCCGATTCAGTCTGCTGCTAGTGCAGAAATTGCTACTGTTACTGGCGTTTCGGCTGCTACCGCTACCGCTGCCGCTTCCTACCATGTTGTGTCAGCATAGGGAGACAATTTGCGGGATCCTCCAACAGCTCGCGCAGTACGATGATAGAGGCTTTCAGGAAAGCCCCACAGGGTGGAATCCAGCCACGAAAGGTGAAATATAAACGTTTTGTTCGCGGCAGAGCTGATCTCATGCTCGGTAGAAGAGGAAGAGTATACCGCACCGAAAAAAATGTTTACTTCCGCGAGCAACCAACTAGAGATGCATAAACCCCTATAAACATGTGGCAGGGCAGTTGTCAACGAATAGCTGCATACGGCTCAACTTTCGCCGCTCTGCATACTCTCACGGTTTTCGTGGCCGCCTCTGAATCAAGGAAGGTCAGCAAATATTCTTGAGGAATTGTGAAACCCTCCAAAACACACTCCGGTGTCCGTTCTCTTGGTCATTTAACGTAATACTCCCGTTATCTGTGGCCTCTGCTGGTTTTTACCCGTGTGCCCAGATTCACGGTCTCCTCCACTTGCGCCCTCTCCCAATCACGCTGCAGATTTGTGGGGAGGACTCGTGGAAATTTCAGTGATTTCCTTAACCAGTTTAATAGAACATTAATAGTATGACGCCATCGCTACGTTGGGTGTAAGTTGACGATGTGCGCCGAAGCGCTAGCCCTAGAGAGAACAGCAAATGTCCATACCGAACACGCCGAACCTCTCCGGCTGCTCGCTCTCCTGCGTACTTCACAGCGCGTGCGAGACTACTGAAACGAAGTTGCCTGGGCTGAAGCTGATTGCTGTAGGTTGTTTGCATAGTTCCTTCCATGGCGTTCTTTTTGGCTTCTTGTGCATCCTGAGGTTGTTGCAAGCTGTTCTTGGAACTTGGAAGCAACGGACGTTCGGGGCTGGTATCTACTAGCCAGTTCTAACTCCCAGTCGTCCTCTCTCCTTTGCGTAGGGGAAGGAAAAGTCATTGGGGGCGCTAGAAGGTGCATCCTATCGGTGGTTCCAGGCAAATACACCTCAAAACTACAGTCTGGTGGCTGCAGGCATGCCTTCCCCTGGATCAGCCTCGGCAAGGTTAGGATAATGCCATGGTGAACTGGGCCAACAAGCAAATCTCATATCATGGTAATATTGCCCATTGCCGAATTGGGCTAGCATTTTACACCCACAGTGTGGCCGGTCCTCGTATCTTGCCTGCCCTCCGCTGATCATAGCCCTAGGGAATTCGGCAACGAATAGCCAGGAAAGTTTCATTTCCTCACCTCACCTACAAGTTTCATCTCTACTCTCCAGTTCGTATCAAGTAGCGCTGGAAAGGCCTGCTCATTATTTCGAAGGTATCCACCTTCGAAATGATGAGCAGGCCTTTGGATACGCAGAGAGTTGGGTGGACGCTGACTGGAGGGGGCGGCTGACACCTTTTGCGGCCCCAACACGGCTCCACTCGTTGCGTGGCGGCCACTCCGTTCCCGTTTCCCTGATTGCCTTGTTTGGGCCCCTGGATGAGCTGCGAGATATATATTGCTTCCTCAGTTCTGTAGCTCTCTTCGCACCTTTGTAATGCCGAATTAAGTGGCCTTGCTTGTTGCAAAAGAAGCAGAAGTGCCACTCGGTACGTCCCCCAGGCGTTCTCAGGAGATTTGGATCACTGAAGGGAACTAAATCTCCTCGCGGTTGGCGACTACAGATTTTCCATAGTGTTAAGTAAGACCCGGGTCACTTCCAAGACTATTTTTCTGTAGCTAGGGTGAACAGAGTGGTATTTTTCTCTCTCTCTCTCTGATGTGTGAGCGTTCTACCAACTCCATAAGGTCAGCGATTTCACCCCTTAATTCCTGCCCCGCTGCTCAGTCAGTTGCCGATTGCCCAACCAAGAGGGACGGGCCTGCAATGAACCATTCATGTAGGAGGTCCGAACCAAGGACTGATACTTGTCACCCTAAACGCCAAATGCAGCTTCTTACCAGCAACTCCCCTTGTTTAACTTCTCTCAGTTCTGCCATATGCTGTTCCCTTGCTAACGTGCGAGTAAACCTACACTGCAGCGCATGTACGAAGGCTTCAATGGTCCGGAAGCGCTTCGTTAAAGAGGGACCCTTGTCACCTTTTTCGTGTTTCCCGTTCCGATAACGAAAACGCCAATGGCAGCTGTAGCTCTTCGGGTGAATTTTGAAAATGTAGGCGTAACTCCAAACAGGCAAAGAACTCCTCCGCTGCCTCAGCATTGCGGCGCCTGTACAATCCGGGCGGTCCGCAACTCCGGACGTATTCTTCGTGAATTATTTATGCTGTGAAGGCGTTTCCATCTGTATGGGGTACCGATGCTATGCTGTTGTCAACTTCACGAGGCTCCCAATAGTTGGTCTCCTCCCCACTACACTGCGAATCCTGAGCAATCTCTATGATTCCAGAAAGGGCAGGGATTTTTGAGGGACTTCCATGTTTTTTTCTCATGTTCTTCGAGCATATTCGAAACTGGTCACTGCTATGCACCAGGTCGCCCTGCTGTGGGATTGAGGTTCATTGTTCTTCTCTATCGCGATGAACCATGCGGTACCGAATCTAACCAGTCCGCGCCCCTTTACGCGGACCAATGTGTAAGAATTCGTGAATTGCCGCTGACCACTACCAGAGCCCCTAGAAACTCTGCGTTCAGAATTTCAAAGACCTGGAGCTGGGTAAGAGGATGGCTCCTGACACCAGTTGCAACGCACCTCGTTGCAAGTAATGCAAGGAGGTGCGCTGGCACTGGGAAGTGCCTGGCATCAGCAAGGTGCCCCAGAAGAAGGCACTAGAAAGGCTCCCTTCTTGCTGCCTGCACTAACATTGTAAATTATTGTACTTCCGATGGTGTGCAGGCTGCGTACTCAGGCCAAGGAAGTGTTCACGTACCCGCTTTGGACAGCCTATGCAATGGTATGTAAACGGGAAGCGCACTACAGAGAAGGAGGTGGCAATGTAAAGGCCTTTATAGCCTTCTTCTCAGATGTTTCTGCGCAACTGGCTTCTCTTCCCCTTTTTCCTTTGTTTGGGTGTACACCTGACCGGCGCGGGGTTTTGAGGGTGCATTCACTGCATCGGTTTTGCTGTTGCGTTAGCACTGCTGGAATGCAGGTGTTGTAGTTTAGTAGAAGAGGCAATTGCTATTCAAAACAATTTTTTTGGTCTGTAGATTGTTTTTCAAAGGGCGATTTACCCTGAAAGGCAGCACCGGGAGGCGGAGGCGCCGGGGTGTACATACAGCTGCGGTGAACTCCTTCCCGTGCAGCGCTCCCGTGCACCTCCTGCGCGTCCGGCTTTCTTTTAGATGTATTGTTTCAGAATTCCTTCAAACCTCTAATGTGAAAGTAAAGAAATTTGTAATGCATGCACGTCGATACGAGCTTGTTGGAGGGGCTGGGCGTCTGTGCTCGGGCCCCGTGTGTACCGTGCCTAGGGTCGGCAAGAGGTGCTCATAGCGGGTGTATTTTGCGCAGAAAAAAAAGGGTATAGGGTGTTTCTGATGAATGGGATTTGCTTATGAGCATTATATTTGCCAGAAAATCAAAAAAATAGCAAAAAAAACCTGACATTTAAGCATATCGCTTGGCGCCCTCAGGTAGCAGAACTCCCCTCCAGCCGCTGCTGTGCGCCGCCGCAACGAGCGGCTCCTGTGCGGCGGTCGGGGGTGGTGTGTGCATCCGCTTTGTTTTTTTGTTTTTGTTTTCTTTTAATTGTATTCTTGCTTCTTGTTCTCGCAAGCATCCTTGTTCAGGGATGCTGTGCTCCTTCTCCGCCTGCCGAAACCGCGTGGGGACCCGCTGCTGCAGCAGCAACGGCAGCAGCAGCAGCAGCAGCAGCAGCCCTTCTTTCTCCTCTGCCGTTTAGCTCGTTGTTGCCTGTAGCTTGTAGGTGAGGAAGTTGAGTTGTTGCCTTCTTCCCTCCTATTCCGTTAGATCTACTCAGCCCAAACGACCGCAACTCAGGACCCCTAGCGGCCCACCGCTGCCTGCTCATTGCGGGCGCAGCAGCAGCAGCAGCAGCAGCAGCAGCAGCGGCAGCAGGCTTGTGTGGGGACTTAAGGGCGTATTGCCCCTCTTTAAATACAGCACAGCTGTTCCGTGTTTCAATCACCGACCCTCTCCCCCTTGCTGCCGAGCATCAGCAGCAGCAGCAGCAGCGGGGCCCCCGAGCCGGTAGGGCCCAGCAGCAGACCACGCACCGGCAGCAGCGAGAGCTTCCTCGCTGCTGCATGATGCGTGCATTTAGCAGCAGGAGCAGCAGCAGCAGCAGCGGCGGCTGCTGCTGCTCTTTTTAGGTTGCCTCCAGCTCGAGGGCCGTGACCGTTGTTTGCTCTCCGTAGGCAGCGGCGCTCTGTACAGACACACAGACGCTTCGCTGTTGTTATCTCCTTAATGGTAATTCTTTTGTTTATTTTAGGTTGCGAAGACCAAGCATAAATAGTACATCTAGCAGCAGCAAACGCATTCCGCCTGTCTTTGATTCTTTCCTTTGTCTTTGGCTTCTTACCTGTTGTCTATACACCCCACAGCTCCTCCGCTTCTTCTTCTTCTTTATTGCTTCTGCTTCTTCTCCCTCTTTGACTCACCATTTTGTCGGTAAGGCAGCACCCGCTCCTCTCTCTTCAAGCGAAGGGCCCCACGACACCCAACGAGAGGCGCGGCTGAGGTGTACGGACACCTCAAACCGGCCCGGGAACGTCGGCTCTTCCTAAAGCCTCCACATGCATATGAAACCCTAGGCTCTAAACCCTAAACCCTAACTCAGTTGTTCTTGCGTTTTTTCCGCAACAGCATAGCCATTCGAACGTGCTTAGGCACGCAATAGACATACACAGGCGTCCGACAGCAGCAGCAGCAGCAGCAGCAGCAACAGCGGCAGCAGCGGCAGCAGCAGCGAGAGTAGCAGCGGCGGTGCCAACAGTAACAGCACCATCAAACCGTCCTCGCCCTGTAGCAGCCTCTGGGGCTCCGTCTTTGTCTTGCGCGAGTCGCGCCGGTGTCTTGGATGTACAGCAGCAGCTGCAGCAACAGCAGCCGCAGCAGCAACAACAGTGGGAACAGCAGCAGCAGTAGCAGCAGCAGCAGCAGTAGGAGCAGCAACAGCAGCACGAGGCCTACGAAGCCGAAACGAGGGCAACCGTCAGAGCCCAATTGGAGAGGATCTAGGGTTTAGGGTTTAGGGTTTGCATGCGTCTCTGTGGTATACATCATAGGACAATTTGAGGGACCTCCCTCCCAGGGTTTGTGCTGGAAGTGGATATACACCGGAACTTCCTTGCGTCTCCTCCTATTCCAGAAACGCCAACATGGCAACACTTGCTGCTGCTGCTGCTGCTGCAGCTGCAGCTGCTGTCCCAGTAGAAGGGGCGACAAGAAGTACTGCAGCACGTGCAGCACCAGGTGCAGTAGCAAATGCATCAGGTATGGGGGAAGGAGTGAAAAGCTTCGAGGGAGCAGGGACATCACCTGCATCAGCAGCAGCAGTAGCAGCAGCAGCTGCTGCTGCTGCAGCTGAAGACGCGCAGCAAGAAGGGGGACGAGCTCTTCTTAAAGCTGCACCGGAGAAAGAATCTTCTTTGTCAAAATCATGTGCTGCTCTCAATGCTCTGCGCGCCCAGCTCGCTGCCCCTCTGACAGAGAACAAGAGCAGCAGCAGCAGCAGCAGCAGCAGCAGCCTGGAAAGAGAATCTGATGGGACACCTTCTCATTCTCCCGCTCCGCCTTTGGAGGCCTGTGCGGCCTCTGGGAGCGGCGGCGACGGCGTGTTGCTGAAGGCAGAGGTAGCAGAGCAGCAAGAGCCTGAGGCAGCAGCAGCAGCAACAGCTGCTGCTGCTGCTGATGGCGAGGAGGAGCGCCTCGAAGCCCGCTCTGCGTTACCGGAAGGCCTCAGCGTTAGGGGGGAAGGCGGAGCGGAAGGCTCTTCCCCCGCTGCGGCTGCTGCTGCAGGTGGCAGCAGCAACAGCAGCAGCAGCACCAACAGCAGCAGCAGCGGCAGGGAGGGCGCCGCTGAGGGCTCTGTTTCTGAAGGCCCATCAAGCTGGCCTTTGGGTGCTGCAGGTTGGCGTGAGGGGCCCCCACGCCGCTCTCGGCCTCCTCGTCGTGCTGCTGCTGCTGCAGCAGCAGCAGCAGCAGCAGCAGCATGCAGCAGCCGGCGTCCTTCCGAAGAAGTGGGTGGTGGTGGCGGTGCATGCCCTGCTGCAGCGCTTGCGCTGCGTGCCTCAGCAGCAGCAGCAGCAGCAGCAGCAGCAGCAGGGGGCCGCGTAGCTCCCCGCCTCCCAGGGGTAAAGTATTGCCACTCTCGCAATGCGTGGATTGCACGGTGGTCTGAAGAAGGCCAAGAAAGGTGGAAGACATTTTCTGTAAAGGCCTGCAAAGGGTTCACAGAAGCGCGCATGCAAGCCGTGCAATTCAGGTCCGATGCTGCTGCTGCTGCTGTTGTTGCTGCCGATGTTGTTTTTGCTGCTGTTTCTGTGTTGTTGCTGCTGTTGCTCTATTTGCTTTGTTTGTGTGTTTGCGGTGTTGTTTAGGTGGGAGAAGGTCCGCCTAAAGTATGCTAAGTTGATGAAACAAGCTACCCCGCAACCAGCCCTGATGAATGCAGCAGCAGCAGCTGCCGAGGGGGGCCCCCCAGAGGCAATTGACATGGATGCAGAGGCAGCAGAATTAGCTGCTGCACTGCAGCTCTACGGCAGCGCCGCGGGTTCCTCCAATCAGGAGCAGCAGCTGCAGCAGCAACAACCACAACCGCAACAACAGCAGCAACGCACGCAGCGCATGCAGCGCTGCGCGGGGGCCCAGGGAGGCCCCAACAGCGGAGCTGCCAGCCCTTCTTCGACTTCCTCTGGGAGAGGACAGTCTGCTGGTGCTGCTGCTGCAGATAGCCATTCGAAGCAAACAGCGAGACAGAAGCGGCAGGGAGGCCCTCTGTTAGCTGCTGCAACAGAGGAGGGGCCAAGGCCCTCCCAGGGGAGAACACCAAGTGCGAAGAAGACATGCAAGCAGCAGCAGCAGCAGAGGCAGCAACAGCAGCAGCTGCTCTTGCAGGGGGAGGAACAGCAGCTGCTGCAGCAGCAACTGCAGAAGCAACTGCAGCAGCAGCTGCAACAGCAACTCCAACAGCAGCAGCAGCAGCAACAACAACAGCACGAGCTGACGAATAATTCTGATCAGCTCTCGGCCTCTCAGTGGGCGTTGCTGCAGCAGCACTTGCAGCAGCAAGCTGCACGTAGGAAGGCGAGCAGCAAATCGATGTCTGTGCGTTCTTCTCGATCTGAAGGAGAGTTGGCGGAGGGCGCATCTTCGTTGTTTTCCCCTAAGGGTCCAGCAGCAGCAGCAACAGCTGCTGCTGCTGCTGCGTCTGCTTCGAGGGGGACAGGGGCGCAGGTCTCTGGGGCCGTAGCTTCCGGCACTCCACTTGCTGTTAAGAGCGACACTCTCTACGGAGAAGGTGCAGATACACCGCAGACGGAGGGAGAGCTGCGGACGCAGCTGCTGCTGCAGCTGGCCACCAGGCTGCAACAGCAGCAACAGCAGCAGCAGCAGCAGCACGGCAGTGAGCAGCAAGACACTGCGATGCTGCTGCAGGCCCTCAAGAGCCTTCTCCTGCACCGACAACAAACACGACACGAGCAACAAGATTACGGCGCACGGCTCCCGCTGCACGCCCAGCAGCAGCAACAGCAGCAACAGCAGCAACAACAGCAGCAGAACAACAACAAAGACATCGAGGCAGACTTGCTGCGGCTAGTTGCAAGGTCTGCAGGGCTATTGGGGGGAGCTGGGGATCGGAGCGCTGGGGGGGCAGTTGCTCCGTTGTCCGCCGAGGCTACTGCACTGCAGCAGCTGCAGCAGCTGCAGCAGCTTCAGCAGAGTGCATGCGCAGCAGGAGACTCGCGATCAGCGCAGGTGTGGGGCGACGCCCTTGGAGAGATCAACAGCCCCGATGGTGTGCATTCAATTCTCCGCTTTATTGCGGATGGGAATAGCAACAGGCCTGCCTCAACAGCAGCAGCAGCTGCTGCTGCTTCTGCTGGAGGGGGAGGGGCAGGTGCTGGCAGCACGTCGGGCGACGGAGCAGCAGCGCATGCAGCCGTGTCGTTGGGGCTGCCGCAGTGGTCGTCCCGAAGCCCCTTGAACAGTAGCAGCACGAACAGCAGCAGCAACAGCAACAGCAGCAGCAGCACGAGCGCAAGCAGCAGAAGCAGCAACAGCAGCAGCAGCAGCAGTTCTGCTCCTAGCTGTAGCTGGGGTCCATCAGCTTTGTCTTCCTTGGTAGGCCCCGCATCTGTTTCTTCGCATAACTTCAGCAGCAACAGCAGCAACAACAACGCAACAGCAACACCAGCACCTGCAGCAGCAGCAGCAGCAGCAGGATCGTCTCCTTGCTGCACAAGAGACAGCACAGAAGGAGACAACACCGAGGAAGCAGCAGACCTGCAACCGTGGCGGCGAGCAGTTTGCGTTATTCTGGAAGACGTGCTAGAGAATTGCATTCTAGAAGTGGGTACGGATATGCGGCACTGTGGCAGCAGCAGCAACAACAACAGCAGCAGCAGCAGCAGTTTATCGAGGGAAAGGCTGCAATTCGCGCCGATGGTGGGGCGGCTGAAGGCCCTAGCAGCGCGCAGCAGCAGCAAAGCGGAGCTAAGGCCCTTCTTGCGTCTCTTCTCCCGCAGCATTCGTCTCGGTATTGTACCTAGTAAGCAATCAACAGATATGCAGCAGCTGCTGCTGGATGCTCTGGGTGCATTGGATGATGCTATGGCTTCTACAAGAGCCCTGGCAAACCCTCCGCAGCAGCAGCTGCAGCAGCAGCAGCAGCAGCTGCAAATGCAACAGCAGCAGCAGCAACTCCAGGCGCAACTGCAACAGCAGCAGCAGCAGCAACAGCAACAGCTGCAACAGCAACACCGTCACCAACGCCTGCCCTCTTCGCCGTGCTGCAGGCCGGGGGCAATATCTGTGGAGGTGTACGAACAGTAAGGAGGGTGAGCATGCAAACAGCAGCAAATATAAGAGAATATACAGCTGCAACAAACGCAGAATATGAGAGCTGCAGTAAATAAACAAACAAACAACACCTGATGAGTATTCAAGCAAACTTCACTGTCTTCGTCTTCATATTTATATTCAACTTCTCTCTCTCTCTCCGTTTGCCTCTTCTCATACAACAACCCCCACGGCGCCACCCCCCTTCTTCTCGGCCAGGTATCTGTTCATGCATGCAGCAGCGGCATGCATGCAACAGCATAGCACGCATGCATGCAACAGGACGCATGCATGCGGCAGCAGCATGCATAGAGCAGCAGCATGCATGCAGCAGCACGCATGCGTGCAGCAGCAGCACGCATGCAACAGCACGCATGCAACAGGACGCATGCATGCAACAGAACGCATGCATGCAACAGCGCGCATTCATGCAACAGCAGCATGCATTGAGGAGCAGCATGCATGCAACGGAATACATGCATGCAGCAGCACGCTTGCATGCAGTAGTAGCATGCATGGAGCAGCAGCTGGCATTCAACAGCGCGCATGCATGCAGCAGCATGGATAGAGTAGCAGCATGGATGCAGCAGCAGCGTGCATAGAGTAGCAGCATGCATGCAACAGCAGCATGAATGTATCAGGAGCATGCATGCAACAGTACGCATGCATGCAACAGCGCGCATGCATGGAGAAGCAGCATGCATGGAGAAGCAGCATGCATGCAACGGAAGACATGCATGCTGGAGCGAGCATGCACGCAGCAGCAGCATGGATAGAGCAGCAGCTAGCATTCAACAGCGCGCATGCATGCAGCAGCATGGATAGAGCAGCAGCATGCATGCAGCAGCAGAATGCATGCAACAGCACGCATGCATGCAGCAGCATGGATAGAGCAGCAGCATGCATGCAACAGCGCGCATCCATGGGACATCAGCATGCATGGTGCAGCACGCACGCGTGCAACAGTAGCAGCAGCATGCATACAGCAGCAGCATATATGCAGCAGCGCGCATGCATGCAGCAGCAGCGTGCATTGAGCAGCACCGTGCATGGAACAGCAGCATGCATAGAGTAGCAGCATGCATGGAACAGCAGCGTGCATAGGGAAGCAGCATGCATGCAACAGCAGCATGCATACAACAGCAGCATGCATGCAACGGCGCGCATACATGCAACAGCGCGCATGCATGCAACAGCAGCATGCATGCAACAGCGCGCATGTATGGAGCAGCAGCATGCATAGAACAGCAGCATGCATGCATGCAGCATGCATGCATATAACAGCAGAAGCAGCATGCATGCAACAGCAGCAGGAGCTTGCATGCAACAGCAGCATGCATGCAACAGCGCGCATGCATTGAGCAGTAGCATGCATACAAGAGCAGCATGCATGGAGCAAGAGCATGCCTTCAGCAGCATGCATTGAGCAGTAGAATGCATACAAGAGCAGCATGCATTGAGCAGCAGCATGCATACGAGAGCAGCATGCATGGAGCAGCAGCGTGCATGCAACATGAGCATGCATAGGGCAGCAACATGCATGCAGCAGCACGCATGCATGGAGCAGCAGCATGGATGGAACAGCAGCATGCATGCAACAGCAGGAGAAACGCTGGGGCGGCTTTGAGTTGGCCGTTTGAAGGCGGCGGTTGGTTTGGGGGAGGAGGGCAATTGCTGCTTAGAAGCTGCTTAGAAGCTGCTCGTTTGGGGCTTTCCGCGGTGGACATGCACGCAAGCATGTATGCATGCATACATGTTTGCATGCATACATACTTGCATCTGCGTATGGTGCACCGCGTAGAGGCTCGCATACATACTGTTGAGCTTGTGGAGCTGTGGCTGCTGGGGCGTACAGCAGCAACAGCAGTAACCGCAAAAGCAACAGGAGCAGCAGCAGCAGCGGCAGCAATAGCAGTCCGCTTAAAGTGGGGTCATCCCCTTTCCGACAATAAATGGCCCGCATGCGCCAAACATCTTTCACTGTCTCTTCCGCCTTTTGCTGCTGCTGCTCTTGCAGGTGGCGCAGCAGCAGCAGTTGCTGCAGCAGCAGCAGTTGCTGCAGCAGCAGCAGTGTACGTAGCAACGGTAGCCTAAGCAGCAACAGCAGCCGTCGGTGCAGCATGAGCATGAGCATGAGCATCAGCAGCAGCTGCACGGCTACGAGTGCCGATGGTGGATGTAGCTGCTGTTGCTGCTACTGCTGCTGCTGTCGGTCTTCTCGTGTTGTCTCTTCCTTCTTTTGGGGCTTATTAATTCTGTCTTTTAGCAGAGACAGCAGAGACAGCAGCATTCTTCCATGATCTTTGAGTTTGCCTGTGTGTCTGTGTGTGTACACACACCGTTCTTGGCTTGTTTCACTTTGTATTGGCCTCTCATCTCAGCGCACATGCATGCATGCATGCATCCATGCATGCATGCATGCGTGCATCCATGCATGGTGTGCATGCATCCATGCATGCATGCTCGCATGTATGATGCGCATGTATCCATGCATGTGTGCATGCATGCATGATGCGCATGCATCCATGCATGTGTGCATGCATGCGTGATGCGCATGCATCCATGCATGCACGCGTGCATGCATGACGCGCATGCATCCATGGATACATGCATGGTGCGCATGCATCCATGGATACATGCATGGTGCGCATGCATCCATGGATGCATGCATGATGCGCATGCATCCATGGATGCATGCATGATGCTCATGCGTGCATGCATGTCAGTGTGGGGCTGCTGCATGGGGCGTGTTGTGCCTCTTTGTGCTACCCCTTCTTTGTCAGCTGAGGACGGAGGCAATTAAATTCCTCCCCATTGCAGAGCTTGAAAGAAAGAGAGAGAAAAATGCATAAAGAAGACAGCGTTTTGTGATGCGCTGTCTGTGCATGCATGAGAGTGCTGCGCCTTTGAATCCGAGGTGTCTTCTTGTCTTTTAACTCAACGTCGTTTTGCGCTTATTCAAAAGCTTAGACACTTTTGTTCCACTCGTCTTTCTTTCTTTCTTCCCGCCTGCTTGCTTCGTCTCTGCACTCTCTCTGTTCTTTGTGTTGCCTTTTCTGCCTCATCTCTCTCTCTTCCTGTCCTTTTGTCGCTTTGCCTGTCTTCATTCCCTCTCCTCTGTGTCTATTTGTTTCTTCTTTTCCCCCCTTTATAGCTGCTGTCTCCTCCGGTGTCTTTTTGTCTTCACTGCGTGTCTATCTCTTCTCTCTGTCTCCCCTCTCTCCTCTCTGTCTGCCTTTGTCTTTCTCTCTCTCTCTCTCTCTCTCTCTATATATATATATATATATATATATATATCTGCAAGGAGACCACTTTAGTAGTAGCTGAGGACCTCAATGATTTGCAATATACTGATAGATATGCAGTGGTGCTGCTGCGAGCGGTGCAGCATCCCTTGCTGCAGCTGTAATTCGTGCGGATAGACACTACAATAGCCCCCTTATTCAAGCATATGGCCTAGTAAGCCCCTTTCTGCTGCATGCGCAAGCACTGTAAACAACGGCTGAACGCTTCATTGTCGCTGCGCAGCGTGCCTGCATCCAAATGAAAGTAAGTATATCTATAATACATATGCATATAACATTAACTTCATACAGACTGTCCTACACTTCGGGTAACTGTCTGTACATCCAGTGAAGCCTACCGCAGCAAGAAATAATAGGGCGCAATATGTAGCTTCATATTATCTATTATATATGATATACATAATCTACTCAACAGCATCGCATGCTATTTTATGTATATATACGCATTTGATAAACAATAAGATATTCATCTGCGCAAAATTTCATGCATCTTTTGTCTAGTAACACTGCAACAACAAGTAATTTGAATTCGTTTCTTAGTTATTTATTCATCTTTTCAGCTACGCACAAGACGGGTTCTTCTTGGACCCACTGAAATATAAAGAGAGAAGAAGATACTTGTGTTTTCATTTTTAAAGTAATTTTATTCTGCATTTATTGGACTTTATTAGCTGTAGTTCAACTCCGCTGGCAGGCGATGAGGGTCCATAGAAAGCAGCGAGCCTAGAGGGGTATCAAGAGGCGGCATCGGACCAATGAAATAAACCGCAAAAGGGGCATCACTAAAACAATAATAATATGAATATTATTATAAGTAACTTTATTTGGTTTAAACTTAAATCTGCAAATCCCAACGAAGGCAGGCAAGACAGACACAGACAGACACAGACGGCCAGCGAGCACAGCGGTCACTTAGCAGCCAGCGGCTTTTTCTTGCGTTGCTTCCTTCTTACTTTTCCAAAAATATCCTTAAATGGATATTATATTTACTTTATAATAAAGTATTTCACTTCAAAAAAGGTTTATTTCGGCTGTTTCCCCCGCAGGTCGGGCGGCGGGTACCGGCACCAGGCGGCGTGCGTTCTCGTTTAGCTTGCTGGAGTTTTTGTGTTTGTTGTTTGTAGTTCCATTTGTTATTTCCATTTAAGTATGTTTTCAGGTTGTATAAAGGTTTAAAAAGGTAATAGTGTTCATAGATTCCTCTTCTTTGCCTGCCGATGGACAGGGGAAACTGTACAGGCTTTCGTTCAAGTTGTACAAGATGAAAAAGAAGGTAAAGATTCTGATTGGGGTGGGTGTTGCGTTGTTGTTGGTGGCGATTTTAACCGTAACGTTGGTAATTGTTCTTCGAAAAGAAGAATGGATCGTCCTAGAAAGAAGCTTTTCTTCTTTAAATGATCAATGCACACCCGACTGGAGTGGGAACAGCGATTGGAGGCGTAAAAGATGTAAAATGCCCCTCATCTGTGCAGCTGCCAGAGACCAAAAGACAGGTAAACCCCTTTCAAAGGGGCACATTCGTACCAACTGCATGCACGCATGCATGCGTGCATGGATGGATACATGCATACAGGTGGAAAGGATCTGGGAGCATGTATGCATGCACATTTGCATGCATGCATGCTGGGGTACACTCCCTCTTCTGCTGTTCGTTGCAAGCCTCCAGCAAGCCCTGCTGCAGCTTCGGGATCGCTGGGTGAAGCTGCCAGTGTTGTGTTTGCATCTCGTTTTCGTTGTTCGGATGTCTGGCATCATTGTGTGGGGCGCCTTTCTGCTTCTTTGTGCCGTGCATGCATGCAATAATTCTATTCTTTGCGTCTAGTGTATTTGTATATTGTTTTTGTGCGTCGATCTTTCGGGATAGCGATTGCTTGCGGGGCCTTCTGCCTTCTGTGCCGTATCTCTCTTCTACATAAAATGCAAGCTTGTGCTTTGTTTGTAGCAACTGCAGTTTCCGCTTAATACTTCGCTTTGAAAGACTGTCTTTTGTGAAGATTCAGGAGGTGTACATACACTGAATATATCGGTCTTATCGCAACAGCACACTGGTGAAGTTGTGCATTGTACATTTGTTGGTTCTGCTGCAGCAGCAGCATTGTGCCTGCAAACTGCATAAAGCAGCAGCAGCCCCATGCCTTATCTGCATCCTACATTTCATGCTCTTTACCTCGTTTGTTTATCCGTTTGTTTGTTTGCGTGTGTGTTTCTCTGTTGGTGCATTATTAATAAACTTGTTAATTATTAATTAATTATTTATTTAGATACGTTTTGCTGATTTATTTATTTTGCTGTGTTTATTTTTCAGGTTATTGCCGCATGCCTTGGAGTGAGGGTGAAGGGAAGAGCTGCAGTGCTTCTGTGCATTTATGCTCTCCTGGGTTGGCATGCGATCCTTATTTAAAAATATGTCGTCGATTAATAAGCGTTGGAGGGAGTTGTACGGAGCAGAACGCGTTTATGTGCGAGTCTGGTATATGCGGCTTTGCTGCTACACAGACAGTTGAGGGGGAGCCTCTGGGGGGTCGTCATTCTCTTTCTAGGTATTGCATTGTTAAAGATCTTCCCCCTGGGGCTGCATGCGATAGATTCAGGCATTGCGTTTCTGATTGTCTTCAGTGCGTACAGGGTACATGCAAACCCGTTTTCTCGCCGCTGCAGCAGCAGCAAAACCTCATTGAACAGCAGCAAGAACTCATGCTGCCCTTAGCTGTCAACGGATTCAGTGCAGAGCAGCAGCAGCAGCAGCAGCAGCAAGTTGACAGTTCTCCGCATCACCCACATGCGATGGAAACCAGAAGGCTGCAACACATGCAGCAAATCAGCAGCAGCAACATAAATGCTGCTGTTGCTCCTCAGGACCCCAACCAACCATTCGTTTCCTTCCAGCAGCAGTTGCAGCAGCAGCAAAAACAACAACAGCAGAACCAGCAGCAGCAGGAGGGGCCTCTCGACGAGGCAACTGTGCGTGCGGCCTGGGAGCAGCGAGCAGCAGAGGCATCTGCACTGCTTGGAGAGCCGGTAACTGCAGCAGATTTGTCGCTTTTCTTTTCTCTACCACGAGACAAAGACGGAGTTCCTCTGCAAACACGAAACGAGCAAAATGCTTCAAATATAGAGCAGCAGCTGCATGGGCAGCAGGCTCCCTGGAACCAACTCCAGGAAAGCAGCGCCTTTCCGGAGCAGCAGCTGCAGCTGCCCCCAACAGCAGCGGGAGGAACACCAGGAGCAGCAGCATCAACAACAGCAGCAACTGGGTCACAGCAAAGGCCGCTGCTGAATGGCTCACTAGCTAAGAGGTTAGCGCGTCTCTTCACAGGCGTCTCGTATGCATTTTCTCCTGAGACTGCCAACCTCCAGATGTGGGGGCCCCCTATGCATGGGTTCCCTTCTGCCTTGCCGCCGCAGTTGGCGCAGCAGGCGCAAGCTGCTAATCCTGCTGCTGCTCTTGCTTATCCTCGTACTGCTGCTCCTACCGCTGCTGCCATTGCTGATCCTGCAGCAGCAGCAGCTGCTGCTGCTGGCGGCCCTCAGAACGCGTACTTATCAACAGTCTTGCCCAGCAGTATGCCGCTGCAGGAGGCGGAGCAGCAGGTATCTCCGCAGCAGCTGCAGCAGCTGCAGCAGCTGTTGTTGCAGCAGCAACAGGGTGCATCTCCGTTTGATTCTTCCTTGGAGGCAATGGAAGCTGGAGAAGCAACGGCAGCAAATCCCCCTTCGAAGCCACCACCAGCAGCACCAGCAGCACCAGCAGCACCAGCAGAGGGAACTCTTACCTCTGAGGAAGAAGGCGAGCCTATTCAGGGGTTGGTGTTTCCAGGGCTTTTGGGTCCCGCTATAAAGCCCTTTTCTGTGCTTGGGTATCCTGGGAAGAGGCCCACGGGGCCCCTTCCTCCCCCCTTAGCCTCTTCTCCTGCCTTGAATATGCAACAGCCTCCTCTTCCGTCACGCTTACCACCAACAGGGCCCCCCATAGCAGGCGCTAGCGCTGCTGTTGCTCCTCTACCTCCCCTCAGTACTGTGCCTCTGGGAGCTATCGGAGGCGCTGGTGCCTTAGGGTCCCCTGCTGCTGCTGCTGCTCTGGGAGGGACGGGGGCCCTCACACCGCTGATGCCTCCTGCGGGGCTCCCCGGTGTCGGGGGGCCCTTGTTGGGGCCTCTCCCCGGTCGCTTTCCTACGGACTATAAAGGGGGGTGTTGGATCGACCGCTGCTGTGCCTCTGTGAGCTACTTGAATCGAAATTCCTTGTTCAATACATACCTTAAACCCTAAACCGTAAACCCTAAATTCTAAAGGTTTAGGCCTTAGAACAGCCCACTGCCTTTTAATACAGCGAAGTGAAACAGCCAGAGAGAGCGAAAGCAGCACAAATAGCCGTTGCTGCTGCAGATTTGGTTGGATTGGGTTTATCTTCTTTTTGCGTCCTCGCACATGCTTATTATGTATGAGTATTAAAATATTTGCCGTTATTTGTCCAGGCGGTGTTCTGTTCGCTTGTTTGCTCTTTTGTCTTTTTCTCCAAATTCATTAAACTCCTCTCTTAGGGGTTGTTGAACTTGCATTTATTGTGTGATTGTCGTACGAATAACTTTATCTAAGTTCATGTGGTATCATATTGGTATATTTGATGCATATAGAGATATATTTGTTCGTTTGTTCGTTTAAGCTCACGACAGTACTGTTTTGTGTTGTTTGACTCGTGAATTCTTGTTGCCATTCATGGTGCGGCTCTTTTTGTTTCTGTGTTCACGTTTCCTCCGTCCTCGTTTCTTTTTTTTCCATGTTCTTTTCGTCGCTGTGTTTATTTGTTGCAGCACCACTACTGTTCTTTCCTCCACGCTTCTCAAGGCTGTCAACTGCGGAAGCGGGAGGGTGCCTCCTGCGTGGGTGATAGCGAAAGAGAGTGCGAAGACCGCCTTTCTTGCATCAATGGGGAGTGCAGCCCTTGGTTTACCTCCAGGCATGCCTCTGCTGGGGATACCATCATCTTGACGGACAATGTGGACTTAGACAGCGTCTGTGCGCCTTGGCAGCGTTTTGAATATGGAGCCCCTGGGGGAGGGGGGCTCCCAGGAGGCCATGGAGGTGGGGGGGGCCTTGGGCCCCCTCAGCTCGCACTGCCCTCGCCTCTAGAGGCACCGAACCCGTATGCGAACAACTTAGGCCGAGATATTGTGCGTACGTTTAGAAAGTTTTCAGGGAGATGCGTGGAGTTAGACAAAAGAAGCTGCGTGACAGATAGGGAGTGCTGGGGTGTGGGCGGGTTTGGGTTTTGTGATATGAGGAGTCGCAAGTGCAGAACTCCCCCTTATCCTGCATGTTTGTCTATACTACGGGATTTGTATTTTTGTCTCTGGCATGAAGGGCGCCTACGAGAAAGCACAGAACAGTATATTGTGACTCAGCTACCCCGTACACCTCAGTTTCTGCTGCATGAAGCCCCCGTCAGCATTAACCATGTGCAAAGCAAATGCCTGCCTTCGCTCGTTCGCAGCAAGCGCGCAGAATTCATTAAGTGCGTGCATGATCAGGGATTCACACTTGAGAGGATCGTCTATGTTCCTGAAGAGTGGTTTCAAGGCTAAGAGGATATGGAAAAGAACTGCTTTTCATTGCAACTTAAGTTCATAACATTTCTTTTCCTTATTCTCATAGGAAATACAGGCACACACAGAGAGATACTGCTTGCTGCTCGCGTTTCCCTCGGTTGTTTGTTCGTTCGTTCTCTCTAGCAACATCTGATAGTGCTGCTGCTACTGCTGCTGCTACTGCTACTGCTATTGCTGCTCGTGCTTCTCGTAAAGAGGACTGCTCCTCGTATGCTTGTGGCATTTCTTGTTCTCACTGTTCTCATTTGAGGGTTGCTTTGTTGCTGTAAGACAATGCAAAGGTGCACACAGTACTTAGGAGGAGAGGAAAGGAAGATGAAGAAATATATGCGAAGGAAAGACAAGCAGAACAAGGACAAGGGCAAGAAGAACAAGAAGAATACAAAAGTGCGAGATGATCAAGAGAGGAGGGGGCCCCCTGTGCACAGACGAGCACATTAGAAAGAACCGTAATAACAAACATATAACGACAACAAAACGAACACCAGTAAATAAGGAGCCAACTCAGAGAACCAGACAAAATAAAGCAAAAACAGATACGCTAGAGAAACGAGCAAGAAAAAGCAGCAAAAGATACACTAGAGAAACAAGCAAAACAAACCAAAAACGGATTATTGGAATAAACAATTTAAACATAGAACGGCGCCGCCAAATCAAAACGCAATACGTGCAAATATGTACTGGGGTGTATGCGCACTTTTAAAAAAACAAAGACAAACCCGAAGACGAAAATAAACAATAATAACAATAATTATAATTAGGGTAATAAATAATAACAGAGAATGCACTGCATGAAGAAGAGAGGGACGTCATAAAGAAGAGCCTTCTATGAGAAAATGAATGGAGGAGGAAGGAGACAGACATATATATATATATATATATACAATATATATATGCTTGTCTCCTTCCTCCTCTGTTCACTTTCTTGCTGCTAAATATACGCGCTTAAATGTATTTCTGAGTCAGATAAAGCAAATACGAATTTAAAACATAAAGGCTAGTCGAACTTGCATGCAGGCGCACATTTGTAATACATCTATATATATTATATATGTTATAAAAACACAACAATCACAATGCATGAAAGGATTCAGGAAGTAAAGGTCAGGGTTCTTCTATTTCCGTTGATTCCGTGTTAGTTTGAAAAGGGCAACTGGGGCGTTCTTGCTGCATCCAGCTGCATGCAAGTGCCCTGAGGAGGCAAACTTTCTCTGCTTTTTCATCTCTTGTTTCCTCTAGTGAGGGCTTAATCGACAAAACGCAAGCTCCCTTCACCCGACGCCCTCTGCTGCTGCTGCTGCTGCGGTGGGGCCTGCCTCTGCTGCTGCTGCTGCTGCTGCTGCTGCGGTAGGTTTGGCGCATGCAGACATAACCCGCAGTTTTCGCTACTAAGGTGTCATCACCCGTCCTCATCACTCCTGAAAGAAAGAAACAACAGTAGCAACGATAAAGAGCAGCTGCAGCAAAGGACGCAGCATGCAAATTATACAAGCAAGCGCATGTATGCATAACACATACATATATACAGATATCTACGCAAACACTGGTTGCACCTGAAGATGCACGAACAACCAATACATAATAAGAAAGCGTAGAATAAGAACACCATTTGCAAGTACAATCACGAAATAAGGCTATAGAACACAGAAGGAGGCGATGTGTGCTTGAGATGATGTAAATACAAATAGGAAATAAGCGGGTAGATAAACAAATATTCATTAAAAATATTAAATGATTCAGAAGCGATAGAAAACAACAACCACAACATAATACACCACACCTACAGATAACAGTAGCATGCAAACATCAACACAAAAACTGCATATACGTAATACATAAAATGTGAATCCGCGCAATAAGGAGGCAAAATAGGTGCAAAGAGAAAGAGGTGAATAAGCAGAAACAAACAAAAACAACAATGAAAACAACTGCAATGCAGCGGCCCTTCTCAACAACAGAAACGCAACCCGCTCGGGAAATAACCGAATAAAATACATAAAATAACAAATGAAATGAACAACAAAGCAAACTAAATCCATTTAAAAACAATTTAATTTAATTTAATTTTGAATATTCATAAATATTCAATGAAAGCAAACCTTCGCCTGCTCTGAACGGAGTGCCGCGCTGACGAATGAGAACATTTCCACTTAAGACGAATTCACCTCCAAATTTCTTCACGCCTGCAAATTACAAATCAAAAAAACGAATTCAATTAAAATCAAGAAGAAACAAGCAAACTGAAAAGATTAGGGAAGAATATATTCACAAGTTCAATCGAGAAAAAAGAAATAAACTCGCAATATTGAAGTAAATCTAGAGCGAAATAAACATAGACAATTCAAATAGACAAAGTAAATGAATAAATTCGACTAATTAAGCAACCAAAAAGATGAATAAAGGATTAAAATATAGAAGGAAAACGCATGGAATACATATCACGCAACACAAGCAACTGCATTATCGCTGCAGAAACGAAGTCACGAATTAAAAATATCAATGGATAAATATTAATAAATATATTTCGTTGTTTTATTTAAGAATAAAACAGAAGAAAACAAAACAAATGCCAACTGGATTGTATACAAACAAACAAAAGTTCTTCTCCCCATACAACAAAGAAGAAAACATACAAATGCGCTTCGTGTATTTTTTTAAATTGTTCAGAAATAAAAAACAAACAAATTCAAATAAAACAAAGAAGAATGCGAGGACGTGCAGGCAGCAAACAGAACCGAAAGAGCAAATAAACAGACAAATAAACAAACAAATGAACAAACAAACAAACAAACAAACAAATGAACAAAGCCAGCCGGCTGCACCATCCGCACTATAAGCAATTAAACAAACAACACCTAAGTAAACAAATGAAATAAAAAATAATCGAAACAAAACAAGCAAAAAACAGAAAACTTGCCTAAATGCTTCGGTCGTGAGTCTCTATTGTTCTTTGTTGCTGCGCCGCCTCGAGAGGTTGCAGCTAAAGAAGAAGAAGAAATAGAAGAAGACGAAAAAGAACATAAAAAGGGAGATCTGCAAACGAAGACGCAAAATAAATCCAATTAAAAGACCTCAAATCTTTAAAACAAACATTTCAGACAGACAAACAAAAACAAATTCATTCACACGCCATGCAGACGATATATTTATTAAATCATCAACAGCCGAAGACGCAAGAAGACAGAATAGAATATACATATATATATATATATGTACAGAATACAATACATATGTATACACATATATAATAATAGTGCAGCATAATGATAATGCTGCCATTATTATTCTTATTATTATTACTGTTCTTAGTATTATTTTTACTATTATTACAATGGCCATTGTTTATTATTACTGCAATACAGCGCTGCAAGAGCATTATTATTTTATCTGCTACAGAAGGCGTTGCTAGCGGCAGCAAACGCAAAAGGCAGCCCCACCGCATGCAAGGGGGAGTCCCTGTAGAGATAAAGGAGAGAAGATGTGCAGGTGATGCTGTTTTTTCTTTCTTGTTGCTGCTATTCATCAGCAAGCGTGTGCATAGACCTGTAAAAGAACGGCACTTAGGAGCTATCAAAGGCCCAGGTGGTCTGCTGCCCATCCAGAATGTATCCGCATAATGCACTTTACCGCGAAACTCAACAGCAGCTACTGCAGGGAAACCGATGCTGCTGTTGCTGCTGCTGTTGCTGCTGCTGTTGCTATTGCTGTTGCTGTTGCTGCTGCTGTTCATAAAGATGCCGGCGAGCAGCAGAAGAACGCGTAAACAATAAAAATGCATAGTCGCTTAGATAGAAATTCCATGGTGAAGTCATTAGATAAACTTAAAACGTGTAAAATTGATTTTTTACGCTGAAAATGAAGTGAAAAAGTAAACCAAAACAACAATTAACTGAGCCGCTGGGTCGGTGAGAACCGGCGGAGCCGGCAGAGCCCCGTAGGGCTTAATAACTTTTTTAAATTTTAATTCATAAAAACAAAAATGGAAAAGAAAATTAATATTAATTAATTATCATGCAGACATGAGAAAACTGAGGGCTTAGCAGCTGCAGCAGCTGCAGCAGCTCCCCCCTTGCATGCATCAGCAGTCGATCGTGAGGCCTCTTTGCAGCATACTTTTCAAGAAGACTTTAATTATTTATTGTTATTATTTAGAATAAATATTTAGAATATTATTTATTTCTGGCTACACACGCACACACACATCACTGCCTGCCTGCATGCATGCATGCATGCCAACTATGATGCTATTGAGTTGTCATTTATTGTTTATTATCATATATATGTCAATTCATTTTCTTTGGATCTAGGCGCGTTAGATAGTCCTCTATATTATCTTAGGACCGTGTTTATTGCTGTATTGTTCGTCTAAGGCTGATATGTGGGTAGAGAATTAGCCTTCCTAGACTGCCTGCTGGCAGGCAGAAGCATAACAATCGTCTTCAACATTAATGCAGATAGCAAAATAAGGCTTTATTGTGATTTCATGTAAAGGTGCTTTGCAGTGTTAGCTGCAACGAAGTGCACTGCAAAGAAGAACCAGCAGCTTCCTCTACCCCATCCTCACGCCTTTTGGGGTAGTTGTACGCAGAACCTTAGAGGGTGGGAGAGGAGGTTGTTTGCTGTCTTCCAGGATTTTTTAGTCCATTTCGTTTGTGTAATGCAGCTTACGATGGTCCTTGGGTGGAGTTGCGGACTCTAGTGGCACTGAACTTCAGTTGAATCAAAATACTTCTGATTGAAGTTTAAAGCAAAAGCAGCTGTGATATCATTCTGCCTCCAGGCATTATGCATGCACCAGCACAGAGGCCTGGGACATCTTTCTGCGTTATGGCAAGGCCTGTCATGAGTTGCATGCCGCACGCCTTCGTGAAACGCTCGCAGTTGTTGCAAGGCAGGGATGCTTACCCCATGTAAGCATAACCAAACTCCCTACTCTAGCGCCTCACAGAATAGTCAGACACTTGCTTGGCCTTCAATAGCTAACCTCGACGCAACCACAAGTGCATGCAGCAACTCAAAACAAAGCAGGCAAAATATTCTGCATCAAATTGTTGCGTGCATTATTTCGACTGGAGCGCAACTGGCTGGCTGCTCAGTGCCAGTGAAATGCCTAATAGTTCTGCATTTTGTTAGTGCATTCATCAGTAGGGGGCGTCTATATGCTTGCTTGTGGGGTTGTCTTGCTGAAGGAGTTGCAGCAAAGTGTGGTGCAAATCATGATAGGCCAGCAACTACGCGCATCCATCAAGAAGTGCTTTCCGCCGCTGGGGGCAGGACTCCTAGAGACTCGCGAGGAGTTTATGGGTTCGAGAGTGTTGAGGGGCTTCAGCTACTTCAATTACGTTGAAGTGATGGCATATTACTCATTTAAGTGTTGCACCCTAGCCCCCTAAAAGAAGCTGGTCGCCCGTTCAGGCTTTGTGTTGACCACGCTGTGACCTGCTGAAGTATGATCGTGCATTTTGCGCAAATCCTCTGTACGAGGCGAAGCTGAGACGCATAGTTTCCGTTTCGCCTTATGCCCCCTTTTCTCTTTTCGCTGTTTGGATTTCTCTCGGTGGGGCTGCCATTCACAACCCAAAAAGTCGGAGTTCCATATCTGGGTTATATCTAAGGCCTTTTGGTTCTCTAATAGCTATGGCTGAGGAAATGTTGTGTTCTCTGCTCTTGATGAGCATGCGCTCCATCACTTCCTTTCCTTCACACCTCTTGATTCCCTCTGTGCCGCCCAGCCGATTAATGTTTATCGTGAAGCAGCAGAAAGGGGCTGTATATTGACAAAGATTTACAGAAGATATCTCCTCCATATTTTTCTGTTTTGCTTGCGGATCACCTCCATAACAACTCATTTTCATACACCAGGCATCCCAGCCGTGGGGTAGCACTACCATGGCTAACTGTGCAGCGTGTGCAAGTGTATAGAGGGTTCCCATTCTTCGCTGAAAATCACTGTGAGCTGCAATAGAGAGAAAATACTTGCGGTAAGACTCCCCCAAAACCCGAAGGTATTTCTACCCTCCATACATCATGCTCTCAGCGGCGCCAGGTCGCGTCCTCTCCAGATCAACCCCGGAGACGTTCAGCCACTAGTTGTAATACACTTGTTATGCTGAAAGGTATCCCACAAGAAGGCCCACCAATGTGCCGTTTTAATGCATGCGCTAACAATGTAATATATCGTTACACAAGTAATTTGAACTCAGTAGCCAGCCTGTGTACAAGTAGAAACACATGCAGCACATTCCAACAACCATGTTACGGTACGCTGCGAAGCACGCCGATATCTCTCGCACCTCGCAAGGATATCAGAATACTCCTTCCTTCCTCACCCCTTACAATATGTTTGTGCGCAAAGCAACACCACAACTAAGTTCCTCTACAATTGCTAGATAAGGGTTCCTCTGAAGCTGATCTCCCTTTCAGTCTCCGGCCGTCCTGGGCACAGCCGCCCCAGCGACTGCGGCTGGAGAGGACAGTAGGCAGGTTGCCTATATTCTCTACCCTAAGCCCTATACCCCAACCACCAAACCCTACACCCTAGGCCCCAAACCATAAAAACCCTAATCCCTAAGGACTGAACCCTGTGTCCTAAACCCTAAATGCAAAACTCCAAGCCCTAAACACTAAAACCCTAGGCCCAAACTGTTAACCCCCAAACGGTAAACCGTAAATCCAGGACCCAAAACCCTAAACCCTAGTGCATCTTGCCTAAACTTCTGCTGCAAGTGGACCCCACATGCAGTCTATCCAAGCGCCCTCTGGATGCGTGCACCAACACGGCAAGCAATCCTTCAACATACTCCTTCCTCTCAGTAACCAGCCTGCTCTGTGCTTTAGTAGAAACGCACCTTTTGCCTATAGACAGGCGCAGCTACAACGAATGTCTAGGGTTGCATGCATTAGGAGGGTGTGGTGGGTGTTTCATACGCTCAGGGGAGCGACATAGCAGCATGAAGGCTGCAAAAAGAATATATATTTTTCGTATTATTATTATATTCTTTCTTTAAGGAAACCTACTTAATACCATACACCCCCAATCATACATGCAACAACCGCAGCAACAGAGAGGGAGCAGCCCGCAGCCCCATGGTAGCAGTTTGCACTTTGAGATTTTCGTAGTTTGTTTGTTTTGTGTTTTTCAATGTCTTTTTTCTTTTATACAAAGTAAAGATATTCAAGAAAGAATCAAAAACAGTAGGCAAAAGCAGACAAACATCGTGGGTTTCGCTGCCTCTTTGATGCTGGGTTTGCATGCTGTTGTTAGAGGCTGAGACTTGGTGGTGTTGAACTGCCGCTTTATTCATGTATTCTTTTTTGTTTATTATTTCCTTTGTTTAATATTTGTTTTTATCTTTCAACTTATCCCCTGATCCTTCTCCTGATACCGTGGGGGCGCCGCCAAGCGCAAGCACAGTTGTCTGCTTTCTCGCTTGAGGCTGCATCATTCGTGGTGTATAGACGGCTTGGGGGTTGTAGTTTGCTGCCCTTGAGCTCTCTATAACGGTTTCAGGTGCTTTGCTTTGCAGCTTTCCTGTGCATGCAGGCAGGCATGCATGCATACATGCGTGCATGCAGGAGTGCATGCATACACCTCCTGGGGCCTTTATCGCTGAGGCTAGCGGCGTGAAGCTGCGCTGCAGCCTCGTGCGAAGAAGAAGGCAGGGTGGTGGATTCTGAGGTGTACAGGCAGGTGCTAGGTAGGGCTTAGCAGTGCAGGTTGTGTTGTGGGTCTTCGGCAGCTGCACGATATTCTTTAATTTGTTGCTATAAGTATTTAAAGATTAGGTTTCTGCTTGCTGGGTGTTCTGTTGAGGTTAAGGAGAATGGCTAGGGACGACAGGAGGGGGAGAGACCGCGAGGGGGCGAAGCACAACGAGAAGGAAACCAGAGACAGAGACAGGGACAGAGACAGAGAGAGAGAAAGGGAGAGAGACAAGGAGAGAGAAAGAGAAAGAGAAAGAGAAAGAGAGAAGGAGAGAGACAGGATAAGGGACAAAGACAGAGAAAGACAACGCGACAGGGACAGAGACAGAGACCGAGAAAGAGAGAGAGAGAGAGACAGAGACCGAGACAGAGAGAAGCCTCGCGACCGTGAGAGAGACAGAGACAGAGAGAGAGAGAGAGAAAGAGAGAGAGAGAGAGAAAGAGAGAGGGAAAGAGAGAGAGAAAGAGAAAGAGAAAGGGAGAGGGAAAGAGAACGAGAAAGAGAAAGAGAGAGGGAAAGACGCAGCCCCGATCGCTTCCGGCGCGAAGCCCCGTTCAGCCGTCGTTCCCGAAGCCGGGATCGGGATCGGGATCGGGATCGTGTGGGGCCTCCTTTCCGGCGCAGTACATGGCGTTCGGAAGGTCGTAAGGCATACCGTTTTGACTCTCCTCCTCGTATGGATGAGGGGGAGGAGGGTGGTGGTGGAGCAGCAGCAGCAGCAGCAGCAACAGCAGCAGCTGCATTTGCATCGGTACCTGGTGCAGCAGCAGCTCTAAGCGGCGTTTTAGGTGGAGCAGCAGGTGCAGCAGGTGCAGGCGCTGGATTGGGTACTGTAGGAGGGGCCCTAGGGGGGGCCCTCGGGGGTACCCCCGCACTTGGTTTAGGGTTGGGGGCCCCCGGTGCGTTGGCAGTACCAGGAGCAGCAGCAGCAGGGGCCCCTGGGGTTGGAGGCCTCGTACAGCTGGATCCTGCAGCAACAAAGGCAGCTCGTGAGTTATATATCGGTAATTTACCTCCTAATGTAGAAGTTCCTCAGCTATTAGAGTTTTTAAATGCAGCAATGGCTGCAGTAGGTGGGGGCGTTCTACCGGGGCCCCCTGCTGTAAAGGCTTGGCGTAGCAGCGACGGGCATTACGCTTTTGTTGAGTTTAGAACGATGGAGGAGGCATCTAATGCAATGCAATTAAACGGTTTAAGTTGTCTTGGGTTTAATCTTAGAATAGGGAGACCTAAGACATACCCGATGGAGCTCCAGCATATCGTACCCGCACCTACGATCCCGCTGCTGCATCCAGCTGCTGCTGTAGCAAGTGCTATCGTGAGCCAAATAACGCAGCCGCAGCTCCCTCCAGGAGAGCTTCCGAGTGTTGCTGTTAATCCAAAGGCTGCACTTGAGGCTGCTCAAGCAGCAGCAAGAGCAGCACAAACACAGAACGGAACGGAAGGTGAGATACGGTTTGTTTCGCTCTATTATATTATTATATATGTAGTTTGATTTATATTTATTAATATTTATATATTTATTTATCTCTCTATGCGCATTTTGTTTTATGCTTACACGATTTTATGTGCATGCGCATGCGGGCTGATCGGGAATATTGGCAGGTTTCTTATATTTATATATATATATATATATGCATGTGTGTATTTATATATACGTATGTACATATGTTAATATATGTATGTATATTTACATGCTTATGGATGTGTTTATATGTGCATGCATATGCATGCACGACATGTGGGGGTGTGCATGTATATATATATATATATATATATATATATACACGCATAGATATACGTACATATATATATATATATATATTTATATTTGTACATTGATGTAAGCGTATGATAGCTAGATATACCTGCATTTTATTTACATGCTGCATTTGTAGATGTGTGCCAGCCTCCCTTTGTCTACTGGTTGTATATATCCGTTATATATACACATATATAATATACATATGCGCAAAAATATGTATGCTGTTATATCTATATCTATTATACTGAGTAAATATATAATGTAGATAATGCTGTCCGGATGTATGCATATGCTGTTTCTGTGTGGGTGTGTACATGCGATGGTTTTTACTGCGTGTATATATTTGGTCTGTATAATATATATATATATATATATATATTATATTTAGATGTTTTCTGTTTCTGTCTCGTTGTTGGAGTGTAACGCTGTCGCCTCTTATGCAGACGCATGCATGAAGCTGTTAAGTTGATTGTATTCTTTTAATAGATTCATTTAAGAAAATTATTCTTTTTATTGCGTTCTGTCTTCTTTTGTTTCTTCTCTCAGGTCCTCCTCAAACAGACAAACTCTGTGTGCTGGGTTTACCAGCAACGATGGCTGAGGAAAAGGTGGGTCTTTTTTAGAAACAAATTCAATATATATATATATATATATATATATATATATATATATATTGTTTTATAACTACCTTCTTGATGAACAAACAATGAGGGTTATACTGTATTTTTCTTTGCTTTATATTGCATATATATCATTATATTTATATTGCATACATTCTGTATACTATATATATATATAATCTTCTTTATTCAGGGGACAGAAAAACATTTGGTATTTTTTTTTGAATATTTCTTTTTTGTGCTCTTTGTTTGGGGTTTGGGGCGTTGTGTTGACTCTCTTTGTTCTGCGTCTTTTGTGGTTAAGTTTTATTGTTTTTTTTTCAGTGGATTATTATGAACTCCTGTTCATTTAATTTATTTTATTTCTTTTTTGTGCTCTTCTCCTCTGCAGATCCGTCAGTTGGTGGAGACGTTCGGGCCCTTAAAGTCATTTGATATTCTCAAAAAAGACACTGACGAGTCGCAGGTAACCCTAAAAAATAAATATTAATATTATATATATATATGCATATATGTGCAAGTTAAATGAATGCGTAGTAGAGCACAGGAACAAATAAATGAATAGGCGTGAAAAGATAAATGGCAATAGAATGAAAAAGCATTTAAAAGTATATACAAATATAATGAATATGCACTTGAACACAGAAACAATTAAATGAATCAAGTAAATGCGTGCGCAATTTCGATGCATCTCGGGTGTACATACACCTCAATTATTCATGTTTCTTGTGTTCAATTTGCTTTCCGTTCAATTTGCGTTTAGCTTCTTGAATTGTTTCCTTTTCTTTCCTTTTTATGTCTTTGATTTGCCTTAATATCCTGTATCTTTTATATATTGATGTCCTTCCTTCATTGAATTTGTTCTTTTTTTGTTTTTTTTTCAGTTGGTTTGTGTTATTGAATACGCCGATGCGGATTCGCAACAACAGGCGATGGAGATTTTGCACACAAATTCTCCCTATAGAGTTGTAACAGCAGAACATGCAATTAATGAAGGAGCAGTTTCTTCCTTTTTGAAGGAAAAAATTTCAATGGTTGGCTCCGGAGCAGCCCCGCCGCTGCTGAGACCCCAAGTCTGTACACGCGTTCTTGTTCTCCACAACATCGTTACACCTCAAGACGTAAGTGGTTGTATTCAATGTAGTAACAGAATTAATCATTTGTATTGTTTGAAAGTAAACGCTAAGCAGGGATGAACGAGAACAACTGACTGTAACTACAGTACCACGTTAAATTTTTTTTTCGCTTTTCCAATTGCGATATATATAGATTATATATACGCATATATTAATTCCATATAATATGTATAATACGTAATGTAATATGTTGTTATAATGAGAGTATAAAGGATTGTATATGTTAAGCTAATGCGTTGTAGAAGCAAAAGGAGAGAGAAGAATGACAACTACTGACTTGAACAATGGAGTGGAAGATAAAATAGAGAGAAGAACAACGCAGTTTTATAACGCAAAGAGAGCATGAAACGAAAGACATGACGCTGCTTTGCATGCGTTTTTCTGTTTTTGATTGTCTCGTGTTCCTCCTGAGTGGGATCGACGGTTATTTACTGTTTTGATATTATTTGTTTATATCTCCACAAACCTGCTTATTTATTTATTTGTTATTATTATTACTATTGTTTACTGTAATTATTATTACTATCGTTATTATTATTATTACGTAATCTGAATGGGGCGTTTTATGTTTCAAGTGTATGTGTAGGATTGTTAATGAATCTGTATACTAATATATGTAATATTTGAATAATCGTCGTTATTGTTCGTTTGTTTTTGCTTGTTCAGCTTCAAGATGAAGACGAATATGCAGATATCGTCGAAGACATTCGTTTAGAATGTGAAGAGTGCGGAGGCCGAGTAGTAGATGTACAAGTACCCAGGATATGTAAAGACCCTTGTATAGACCCTAGACATATTCATGATCTGCCTGAAGAAGATGAAAAAGAAATAAAAACTGCAGAAAAACAAGAAAATTTACCAACTACACAAGTCAAGAGGGAAACACATGACGGTGATACTGCAGCAGCAGACAGCAGCAGCAGCAGCAGCAAGAACGGGCAGCAGGAGCAGCAGTCGTCAGCTGTGAAATCTGAGAGCGATAGCAAAAGCAGCAGCAGCAGCAGCAGTGCTGCTGATGAAGATGAGGTTGTAACAGAACAAATGGTGCTGGATGCTGTCTCTGGAAAGACTAAAGTGCTGCCGCCGATGGTTGGCTATGCCTATGTTGCATTTGTTGATTGCGAGGCCTCAGCTAACGCTAGAAAGGTATTTAATCTTATTTTCTTCTTAATGTATTTCTTTATTTTCTCATTAAATGTTGATTATGCATTTACCTCTTTGCTTTGTCTTTAAACAATGTTCTTCTCCGCTTTCTTTTGATGTATTTCTTTGCTTTCTTCTCAAGTGCTGTATTTATCTTTGCTATTACGCGATGACTCTCTCTCTCTCTCTTGCTTTTACTGATGCATTTCTTTATTCTCCTCTGCATGCATGATACGCTTCTCTGTTTTCTCTTGATTTGCAAAATATGAATATATTTTAATAGTAAATAAAACAACATTAATAAACGATTAAATTGGGTATATATTTTAATAAATGATCAAAATATGAATATATTTTAATAATAAATAACAAAACAACTTAAATAAATAATTAAATGATTAAAATATGAATATATTGTTTTTTATTTTCAGGCTCTCAACGGCCGCAAGTTTGCGGGTCGCGTGGTGGAGGCTCATTATTTCTCTGAGTTATTATTTCTTCAGCGATCTTTCTCTTCGCCTTCTCCTAATTTTAAGAAAGGGCATTCTTATCTGCATTCACCGGCTCTAGCAGCCCTCGTACAGAGCTTAAAAGAAGAATTAAATGGAGAAAAGAGCGAGCAGCAGTAACTGCTGCTGCTCCTGCTGCTATTGCTGCTGTTGCTGCTGAACGCATGCAGCAGCAGCCGTAGCAGCTATTTGCTGCCCCTGCTGCTGCAAATCTTTATATACCTGCATCTACTGCTGCAGCAGCACAACCAGCTGCTGCTGCTGTTGCTGCAAGTGCCGTTAACAGGCAGCAGAAACAGCACCGCC